GACCTGCGGGACCGCCCTCGAGTCGGGCTGCCTGGCTGCCCGGCTGCCGGATGGCGGGAGGGGCGTTGGAGCGTCTCTTCGGGGAGAGGGGACTTTGCTCAGGCTCCTCATTCCGACGGTGGTCTCTGAATCCGGCCTCCTTAGCCCCGGCTGCTGGGGATTGCTGTCTTGGAAAGGGAGCGAGTACCCCTACCCACGATCTCAGGGCTGCCTGCCACACCCCTTCTCTTCCAAGGGGATCGCGTAATAAAGAGGATGGGGTAGGCAATGACAAAAACTCTATTTAACGAACTTTAGTTAGGCTCCCCTGAGCCCAGTTCTCGACTAGGCCTCTACCTTGGCATTCCTGTTTGTCTTAGCTGATCTTAGTTTTAGCAAGAATCCTGCTAAGTCACCCTCCCACCTTTGATATTTGATCACCCTTGATATTTTGATACTTGATATCTGATCAGATTTCTTATTCCCCACTTTTAATGTGTAAGTCCTTGGCCTGTCTTTCGCAAGAATCCCCCTACCCTTGATGTCTCCTGTTAGTAATTTTCCATCCTCTAACCGCCCTCGCTCCACTTTTTCCTTGGCTATGAATCCCCAGCTGTGTTTGCTGTATTCTGAGTTGAGCTCAGTTTCTTTCCCCTTTTGCAGTAGTCATGACCTCTATTGCAATAGGCTTGAATAAAGTCTTCACGTTTTAACAAGTGTCCGAATAATTTTTAACAGCAGCGAGCACCCTCCCTGCCCTATTNTCACGTTTTAACAAGTGTCCGAATAATTTTTAACAGCAGCGAGCACCCTCCCTGCCCTATTCCCAGGAGTAAACTATGGCGGATTTAGTAATCTGTCTCCTAATCTGTAAAATGGGTGTGTTGATAATCCCGGCTCTCTTCCAGTCAAGAAAAAGTGGTGAAGCCCAGAAAAAGTATTATAAAAGTTGTTTTATAAAGGGTTAAACCCTCCACAGATGTTAGCGCTGATATTTTTTCCTCCTTTTTCATATATTACCTCCTTATACAAAGATGTAAAACAGGAATCACAAAATGTACCTACTACTAAGACATTTCCTGCAAAGCACCCCTAAAGCCAGTGGACAGATAACATTAAACTCAGGTAGTCTGAAGATATGGCCACAAGTGATCCCCCACAAGCAAAACATGTAGTTGAAGACTCTTGTTTTTGTTTAAAAGGAATGTGAACTTTGGATTTCATCATTTGTTTGAATAGCTTCTAAAAGCTGTAAATAATTTACACCTGTGCCATTGTTTATTCTGTGAC